AAAGGACTGAATTTGCAAAGGGAAATGGAGATATGATGCATTAAAAAAAGAACTACTGTATATATGAAATTTACTTTTGCATTTACCTAATGCTAACCACATACACACAAAACAAAACAAAAAAACCTGAGACACGTAACTTAAAAAAAAAAAAAGAAAAAATTATAGAATACCACCAAACTAAAACAACAGACAGAAACATAAAGGAAACAAAATCATGGAGACATAGAGCTACTAGGAAAACAAAAGATAAAATGACTGTAGGAAATTCTCATATATCAACAATCACCATAAATGTAAATGGAATTAACTCACCAACCAAAAGTCACAGAATAGCAGATTGAATCAAAAAAACAAACCAAATTATATGCTACTTTAGGAGATACATCTCAACTGCAAAGATAAATGTAGACTAAAAGTGAAAGGGTGGAAAATAATTATCCAAGCAAATGGCACCTACACAAAAGCAGGTGTAGCCATCCTTACATAAGACAAAATAGATTTTAAGATAAAAGAGCTAACAAGAAACAATGATTAAAAGAACACTACATCAAGAAGATGTAACACTTCTCAATATATATGCACCCAATTATGGAGCACCAAAATATATAAAGCAACTACTAACATAATTAAAGGGAGAAACTGACAAAAACACAAGCATAGTAGGAGGCTTAAATACACCACTGACAGCTCTAGATAGATCATCCAAACAGAGAATCAATCAAAAAAAAATATATTGGCCTTAAATGACACATTAGATCAAATGGACACAATTGCATATACAAAGATTTCATCCCAGAACAAAATATTATGCATTTTTTCCTAGTGCACATGAAACATTCTCAAGAATAGACCATATGTTGGGATAAACACAAAAATAGCCTCAATACATTTAAGACGATTGAAATCATACCAAGCATATTCTCCAACCACAATGCTTTAAAATTATAAATGAACTGCAAAAAGGAAGCAAAAAAACTCATAGGTATGTTGAGATTAATCACTGTGCTACAAAATAACAACAACAAGAAAACAAAAGACAGGACTGGGTCAAAGAAGACATAAATGGAGATATAAAAAGATATAGAGAGATAAATGAGACTAACAGAACTTTGGGATGCAGCAAAAGTAGTAATAAGAGGGAAGTTTATATCATTACAGGTTTATCTCAGAAAAACACACACACACACACACACACACACACACAAAACAACCAAGAAAATTTTAAGTAAACAACTTAATATTACATCTTAAAGAGTTAGACAAAGAAGAACAAAGACAGCATAAAGTCAGCAAAGGAAAGGAAATAATAAAAATTAGAACAGAATTAAATTAAATAGAGATCATGAAGACTATACAAAAAATCGATACCATAAAGAACTAGTTCTTTGAAAAGATTAATAAGATTGACAAACTTCTGGCTAAAGTCACTAAGGGAAAAAGAGAAAAGACTCATATAAATAAAATCAGAAATGTAATAGAAGTTACTACAGACATCACAGGTATACAAGGGATCATACTAGAATACTATGAAAGACTGCATGCCACCAAATTCAATAACCCAGAAGAAACAGATAAGTTCCTAGAAATTTATAACCTTGCTAGAGAGAATCATGAAGAATTGGAAAACTGAAATAAATAGATCAAGAGTGAGGAAATTGAAACAACTGTCCAAACCCTACCCAAAAATAAAAGTCTAGGACCAGATAGATGTCTTCACTAGTGAATTCTATAAAACATTCCAAGAAGATTTAATACATATTCTTCTAAAAGTTTTCCAAAAAATTGAAGAGGAGGTAATACTTCCTAACACATTTTATGATGTCAATAATACCCCGATACCAAAACCCGGCAAGGATAACACAAACAAAAATAACTACAGATGATGAGTACAGATGCAAAAATCTTGAACAAAATACTAGAAAAACAAATACAATAATACATTAAAAAATAATACATCAAAATCAACTAGGGTTCATTCCAGGAGCACAAACAAGGGTAGTTCAACATATGCAAATTGATCAGTATAATACATTAATAAACTGAAGGGTAAAAATCATATGATCATATCAATAGATGCAGAAAAGTATTTGACAAGACACAACATTTATTTATGATTACAACATTCAATAACATGGTTATAGAAAGAAAGTGCCTTAACACAAGGGGCATATATACAAACACTCAGCTAATATCATACACAATAGTGAAAAACTGAAAGCTTTTCTTCTAAGATAAGAAAAGGACCAGGAGGTCTACTCTCGCCACTTTTATTCAACATCATGCTGGAATCCTAGCCAGAGCAGGCAAGAGAAAGAAATAAAAGGCACCGAAATTGGGAATGGAAAAGTAAAATTATCACTTTTTGCATGATTCTTTATAAAGGAAACTGTAAAGACTCCACCAAGAAAAACTATTAGAAACAGTAGACAAATACATTAATTTGCAAAATAAATGTACAAAAATCCATTGTATTCTTATATGAACAATAAAATTTCACAAAAAGAAATAAAAATACAATTCTTTTTGCAATTGCAAAAATAATAATTAAATTAAATACTTAGGAATAAACTTTACAAAAAATATGAAGGACTTATACACTGAAAATTACAAGGTATTATTAAAAGAGATTAAAAAAAAAACACACACACAAAGAAATGGAGAAATATTTCATGTTCATGGATTAGAAGAATCAACATAATTAAAATGGCCATATTACCCAAAGCAATATACATTTTAATGTTAGCCCCATAAAAATCCCAATGTCATTTTTAATTAAATTTATTGGGGTGACATAGGTTCACAAAACCATATAGGTTTCAAGTGTACAATTCAATAAAATATCAGCTGCACATGGCATTGTGTGCCCATCACCCAAAGCAAAGTCTCTTTCTGTCTCCATTTTAACTCTTTTGCCCACCTCCACCTATCCCCTACTCCCCTTTCCCTCTAACTATCATCACACTGTTGTCTGTGTCTATGTGTTATGTATATATGTTTTTTTGTTTAATTCCTTCACCTTCCATCATCCAGTTCCCCAACTCCCCTTATAGGTAACTTTCTGTCTCTCTTGCTGCATTTAACATTCTTTTCTTGTCTTTAATGTTTGTCATTTTGATTATTATGTGCCTTGGAGTGGATTTCTTTGTCATCTTGATTGGAACTCTTTGCTTCTTGAACTTGCGTGACTTTTTCCTTCACAAAGTTGGGAAATTTTTTGTCATTATTTCTTTAAACAGGTTCTCTATTCCTTGCTCACTTCCCTCTCCTTCTGGTACCCCTATGATACAGATGTTGTTACTTTCCATATTGTCCCAAAGTTCCCTTAAACTATCCTGTTTTTTAATTCTTTTTTTTTTTCTTTTTGCTGTTCTACTTTTTTTTTTTTTTTTATCTTCACCCGAGGACATTTTTCAATATTTTGTTCAGATAGAGTGGGAGGGAGAGAGAGAGAGAGAGAGAGAGAGAGAGAGAGACATTGACATGAAAGGAACACATCAGGTGGTTGCCACCCACATGACCCAAGTAGGGCCGGGGACAAACTGCAACCAAGGTACGTGCCCTTAGCAGGAACCAAAGCTGGGTCTCTCCAGACCACAAGCCACCACTCCAACCGCTGAGCCAAACCGGCCAGGGCTGTTCTACTTTTTTATACCTTGTCTTCCAAATCACTAATTTGGTCTTCTGCCTCATTCAGTCTACTTTTGAATCTTTCCAGTGTGTTCTTGATGTCAGATATGTTATTCTTCATTTCTGCCTGATGCTTATTTATGTTTTCTATTTCTTGTTTCATGTTGTTGTAGTTTCCACTAAGTTTCTTGAAATTCTCACTAAGTTCCTTGAGCATCCTTATATCCATTACTTTGAGCTCTATATCTGATAAAGCCTCCATTTTATTTAGCTCTTTGTCTGGAGTTTCCTCCTTTTCTTTCATTTGAGGGTTGTTTCTTTGTCTCATCATTTTTGCTGACTCTTTGCATTTGTTTCTATGTATTAGATCAAACTGTTATGCTTCCCAGTCTTCATGGGGTAGCCTTATGTAGCAAGTGTTTTGTGGGACCCAGTGGTGCTGTCTTTTAGATCTCCTGAGATGGGTGCTTCAGGAATGATCCTTGTGTGATATTTGTGCCCTCCTGTTATAATTGGATCTTGAATGTTGTTGTCTTATTTGTGGGTGGGCTCTCTTCTCAGGCTGGATGATTTTGAGGTTCACCCTTGACGGCATCATGTGCGGTGCTGTGCAGGTGCAGACAGAACAAAACTAAACACAACACAAGAAAAACATACAAATGACCCCCACAACCACAACAAAAGTGACCAGAAAAGAAGAGAGAATTAGGAAAGAGAGAAGATATCAAGAATAATAGAAGAAAATGAAAATACTAGGAGAGAAGAAAAGGCGGAAGAAAAAGTTTAGGAAAGGGCAGAGGTGAAAAATATAAAATAAAAACAGAGAATAGGGAATGAAAATGGTATAAAATAAAAGAAGAAAAAAATAACTATGAAATAGAGGAGAAACCAGAAAGTTAGAAAAGAAAAAAAAAAAAAGAAGCTTAAGCAGGAGAGAGAAGAAAAACTAGAGTAAGAAAAGTGAAAGAAAACAGATTAAAATAATATCAAATCAATAAAAAAGAAAGCTACAAAAAATGATGCAAAAAAAAAAAAATGAAGTGGCATTTATCTCCAAAAAATAAAGTGAAGTAGTGATGGTCTTAGCAGAGTTTTGCCTCCTGTGAGCTCCCTTAAAAATATGGAACGCCTTGCCCTGGCCGGTTTGGCTCAGCGGTTAGAGCATCGGCCTGCGGTGTCGAGAGACCCAGGTCCGGTTCCCGCTAAGGGCACGTACCTCGGTTGCAGTTTGTCCCCGGCCCTGGTTGATTGTGCGGGTGGCAACTACTCAATGTGTCCCTTTCACATCAATGTTTCTCTCTCTCTCTCTCTCTCCCTCCCACTCTACCTGAACAAAAAATGGAAAAATGTCCTCGGGTGAGGATTACAAAAAAAAAATGGAATGCCTCAAGAATTTTGCATGCCATCCTTGTGCAGAGACCATGCTAATCTTCTCTGTATTATTCCAATTTTAGTGTATGTGTTGCCAAAGTGAGCACCCAACTTTTTTTAATCTTCACCTGAGGGTATGTTTACAATGTTTAGAGAGAGGAATGGGGGGAGGGGAGAGAGAGACATCCATGTGAGAGGAAAACATTCATTATCTGCCACTGTGACCAGGGATCAAACCCGCATGCCCTGACAAGAAAATGAACCCACACCCTTTTGGTGTATGGGACTATGCTCCAACCAACTGAGACACCCAGCCAAGGCACAACCCTCAACTTTGTGTCTAACATAAATGGTAGCAAAAACATAATCACATATTAACTGGCCCCCAAAAAAGGAAGAAAAAAGAACAACAATAATAACCTAAACATGTTATACCCTTTGCAACAGGTTGTTCAAAAAATCATACTAGCCCACATTTTTCTGAACCTTTAAGAAATAATGATAAATAATAATAACAAAAGCTAATATTTTAGTCTAATAATAAAACTTCACATTGATATAATTGTGACTGACTTTAGTTTACTTCGGATTCTTCTTTTTTCCATGGGTATTCCTTGATTTTTTTTTTTTTTGAGAGTTGATATATATGTAAGAGTACACACAGCTATAATCATAATTCTTAAGGATTATATTCAGTTTCATACCATATTTCATATCATTGAAACATTTTTAGTATAATCTGTAAAAAGTGTAAAATAACTTATTTTCTATGTGAAATGTTAACAAATTCAGAAGTCATTCATTTTTATTCACCATTTATTGTTTTATGCATCAGCACTTTTTCCTTTGACCATTTCTGACAGCTCTCAATTTATAACATTCATTTTTAATTCTCCACACAGTAATAAAGTCTTTAGACCTTGAGGATAAGAAGCAAATTAAAGCTATTAACATGTTAGAGAATTGTTTGATTTACTCATTATAAATGATTCTAAATCTGAGAAACTCATAAGAGATGCCTACAGGGCTAGCAAATTTTGACTGGCAGTGTCAGGACAGCCAAGGACAAAGAAGACATTTCTAATAAAATTTTAAATGGCATTAAGAAATGTTCATTTTAATTGGACAAAAGCAAGTCATAATCACAAGAGCATGTTAATATAATTCTACAGAATAAATACAAAAGTGAATAGTCTTGAAAAAACTTGCATAATGTACTTGTGAGTCATATCACTGAATTTTTACTTTTGATGACAAAAAGAACTTTGTACCTTTGTACTTTTCTCTCTCTCTCTTTTGTTTTTTGAAAACCAAAAGTGGTTTTCTTAATCAGGTTTTATGATACCAAGAATTTTAAAAAATCTCATCATGCACATATATACCCTTATATATAAGGACAGGGGCATGAAAATTAAAATGTGATCATCAATAACCAAGAGGGGAAAAGGTCTCTACTTTTAAAGTGTTATGTCCAAGTGCCTTGACACCATGAAAATAATAAGAGCAGGTAAGCATGGATGGGTGTTTTAATAAAGCAAAGAGTAATTGTTTCCTAAAATATCCATTCTGTATTTATTTTGCCAATCCTAAATGCTAAAGATAATCCTTTATTTTATTACTAAATGATTTTCCTCATTTATTCCCAAGGGAGTTAAAAAAAAAAAAAGTGGGGCAAATTAGGTTAGGTACTGAAGAGGAGATAGATTTCAATTCTGGATGGAGTACAAAGTTTAGACATTCAAAACTAGGATAAGTCAATTGCAAACAACTCTGGGGAGCTGTTTTACTACATTCTTCAAAGTAAATTTTTAATATCAGCATAAATATTGTGATAATAGACCACTCGAATTCAAGTCTATTGACAATATCCTCATGAAGCAATAATTTTAGCTAATATCTAAAAATCGGGCATATGAAATACATTGATACTCCATTTACAAATATATTTTTATTTGTTTAGAGAGCACATTGTGAAGAATTTAAAACTCAAAACTGTAAATTGTGTGGAGTCAAAATTCTAAAATGTCAAATGACTACATTCACTAATTGTCTTTTATTACAAAATCTTATCTTAAGATCTCGCCAAAAATATATTTCATTAACAGGTTATTTTATCTTAACATATTTTATCAAACTCTTGCAATTACTACAAAATACAACTTACCAATAATCTTGATAATGTACATTTTGAGAAACAAATACCTTTCAGAATCTATTTACATGACATTGAACAAACACATGCCACCCAGTTGTTGAAATGTTATTACATGTGCAGATTTAATATTTCATCCTGTAATAGCCAGCTATATAAAAAATTGAATATGTCCCATGGCTAAGTGTTTCTTTAAATCAGTCTTCCAGATGGGATTTATTTTGGTGTTCCTAAGTTACTTTTCTGAGTAACTAACTCCCCAAAGTCAGAAAAATTATTTTCATACCATTGAGCATAAATGACATTAATTCTCATAATTTATAAGTAACTTATAATGGAAAATAAGTCAATTAGAAAAAATGTACAACAATTTTTTATAAATACTTCTCCAAACAGGACATACAAACAGCCAGAAGACATATAAAAAAATGCTCAACATCATTAATCATGAGAGAGATGCAAAGTAAAACAAGTATGAGCTGTCATCTCACACCGGCCAGAATGGCCGCCATCAACAAATCCTCAAACAAGTGCTGGCGAGCGTGTGGAGAAAAGGGAACACACACTGCTGGTGGGAATGCAGACTGGTGCAGCCACTACGGAAAACAATATGGTGTTTCCTCAAAAAATTAAAAATGGAATTGAAATTTGACCCAGTGATTTCACTTATAGGAATATATCCAATCAGAAAGAATATATGCACCCCTATGTTCATAGCAGTGCTATTTACAATTGCTAAGATCTGGAAACAACCTAAGTGTCCACCAGTAGATGAGTGGATAAAAAAAGCTGTGGTACATGTACACAATGGAATACTATGCAGCTGTAAAAAAGAAAGATCTCTTACCCTTTGAGATGACATGGAGGGACCTGGAGAGTATTATTCTGAGTGAAATAAGCCAGTCAGAGAAACACAAGAACCACATGATCTCACTTATGTATGGAATATCATGAACAAAATAAACTGTTGATCAAAATAGATCCAGAGACATGAAAGTAGGAAACAGCCTGACAAACCTCAGAGGGAGGGGGGGTAGGAGGGTTGGGAAGAGATAAACCAAAGAACTTATATGTATATATGCACAATCAATGGACATAGTTTCATTCTTTTGCATATTAATATCCAGTTTTTTCAGCAACATTTATTGAAAAAATATTTTTCCATTGAGCATTTTTGACTCCCTTGTCAACTATCAGATGGCACTATATACCATCTGGGCTGCTAACACTGTTCCATTGTTCCATGTGTCCATTTTTATATCAGTCCCATAGTGTTTTTATTACTATAGTTTTCAGTACAGTTTGCAATAAGGAAGTGTGATGTCTTCAGCTTTGTTCAAAGATTGCTTTGGTTATTCAAGGTCTTCTGAAGTTCCGTAGAAGTTTTAGGATTGTTTTTATTTATATTTCTGTGAAAAATACCATTGGGATATTGATAGGAATTGTATTGTATTTATAGATTGGTTTAGGCAGTAACCACACTGTAACGATATTAATCTTCACAGTCCATGGACATAGAATGCATTTCATTTACTTCTTAATTCTTTAATTTTTCATCAATGTCTTATGGTTTTCATTATGTTATTGGTTAAATTTATTTTTAAATATTTTATTTTTTTATATTATTGTGAATTGAACTGATTTTATTATATCTTTTTTTGATAGCTTGTTTTAAGATGCAAATACACAACTGACTTATATTTTGATTTTATATCCTACAACTTTACTGGTTTTTAAAATTAATTCTGATAGTTTTTGGTAGAGTCTTTATGATTTCTTATATATAAAATTCATTCATCTGCAAAAAGATCATTTTACTTGTTTCTGATTTTCATGCATTTTTTTTCTTGCCTGGACTCTCACTAGAATTTCCAAGATTATGTTGAATAGGACTGGTGAGAATAATTAACCTTGTCTTGTTCCTGATCTTGATGAATAGCGTTCAAATTTTCACCATTTAGTATAATGTTGCCTGTGGGCTTTCACATATGACCTTTATTATGTTGAGGTATATTCTTTCTATCTACAATGTTTTAAGAGTTTTATCATGAAAGAATATTAAATTTTGTCAAGTGTTTTTTTTTCTGCATCTTTTGAGATAATTTTATTGTTTTTTCTTTTATTCTTTTATTGTTATATATCTCATTTATTGATTTGTGTATCTTGAACTATTCTTACATCCCAGAAAATAATTCCGTTTGATCACGGTACATGATCCTTTTAATGTACTATTAAATTTGGTTTGCTAGTATTTTTTTCAGAATTCTTGCATCTGTATTCATTGGGGATATTGGTGCATGATTTAATAGTAAGAAAGTTACAATGTATTCTGAGTGCAGTCTTTCCAGATTTTTGTGATTTTTTCTATCCAATTCAAATTTTACAGTTTTTCCACATAACATATTTGCATGTAATCTTTAAAGGAATTCTCTAATACAGAGACCACTCAAAGCAATACATTTAATTTTAATGAAAGCAAACCACTATTTTTTGCACTCATATTTCATAGGTTTATATAATAATTATATTATGTAATTGCAATAATAAATAAAACCGAATCTATAGGTTTGATAAGAAATGTCACCATAGCCTTGGCTTGTGTGGTTCAGTTGGTTGGAGCATTATCCCATGAAATGAAAGGTCATGGGTTTGATTCTAGGTCAAGGCACATACCTAGGTTCTGGGTTTGATCCCCAGTCGGAGTGCATATGGGAGGTAACTGATCAATGTTTCTCTTTCACATTGATGCTTCTCTCTCTCTCCCTCTTCCTTCCTTTCTGTCAAAAATAAATAAAAATAAATTAAGAAAACAAAATAAACGCCGCCATATATAAGTATAGACATTAACTTGTAAGTGCAAATAGTGCTTGCAAACAAGTGAGCCATGAAGATCCTTCACAGAGGGAATTGAGAGTGCTGATTAATCTGGTGAGGTGATTTAGAAAATGTGGAATA